TCTATTATCAGCGTCATACTGTAACCCCTTGTTCAATATTCGGCTCAGAGGGATTGCGTCTACTAACGTACACTCACATACAAACGAACGAAGCGCGATGAAGGAAACGGACTTCCTCCGGCCGGCAGAAGCCCAGCGGAGCAACTTGGGTACGCTCCATTAAACTCAATTAATTTTAAAGTGAAGTGGGGCTGACGGGTCGCAACGGGGGGAGCATAAAAGTATGTAATCAGCACTGTTGCTTGATAAGATGACCCTCGACTCCCAAGTGAGTTTCTATCAAACAAAGCCACTGCCCAATGATGCACGTTTGAGAGACTTTGAAAAACCATTAAGGTTCTAGTTAGCGCGCAGTTAAACCATTTGACAGTATGACAACAACGCCTACGGGGAAACGCTTGTTCACCAGTTATTCATTTACTCCGCTGGACAGATCTCTAGTTAACGAACTTAACTTGATGTAAAGTTATCTGCTTAGCTGCTCTGTCTTTAGCTACATTCTATACGTCTTAGCAAGTTTGTAGGCTTGTTCAGCGGACCAGTGCTGCAGTTCTGTAATATAGGATATCCACTTGTCCATATACATCTTCGCTGCTAAGATGGCTGAAGACACGAGAAGTCATCTCTGTAATAAGCTATTAGTTAAATTTTCCTTGTAGGCAAACAATCCCTCGTACTCAACCATTTATAATTAATTTACTGTAGTATGTCTCGTTAACGAATGATCTCATTCGTCTCAAGTGTATTTTACTATAATAAAAAAATATATTCACTAGCGGCACCGCCTTGTTATATAATTAAGGATAACTTTGCTGCAAAGCGGTCGTGTTTTAAACTTGGAAACATAAAACAACGCCAGTACCTTAGAACCAGGATAGAACATGTTAAACTGTATTACATCATATTAAAGCGATAATTTGGATATTCCATTGAAAACATGTTCGTTTATATTCATTATCAGGCTGCTGTCACCCAGGAAGCTTGAAGCCAGTTAATCAAATGTAGCAGACAAAGAAAGCGCACATTTTACCACGTATTTAGATTCGTGTACATTTAGATAACATGTTTATGTCGTATTTCCATCATAATGCACACTCAACGTGATAAGCAAGACAAAAAACAGTGTACATACTGAAATTGCACGCCTGTACCCGGTCCAACAGAGCTACGTAAGCCATACCTCAATCGAATCAAGTAAGCTCTCTGGACGAGGACGCTGTTTCATCCTAGATGAATTTCAGAGACCTAGAATTCATCTAAAACCAGCTCGATCGCGTGCGCTTACATAGGGCAATGCGTCATAGCTTTGCCGTTGCCGTACTAAATTTGTCATTTTTTGCTTCGTTCTCCCTTGCCCGCGTCGTCCTCATCCTCTTCATTCGGTTCTCGTTCTGTTATTGGGGGCCAGCTCCGGACGCGGCCCCCGCTTGAACAAGCCGAGCGGGGCCATGTTCGTGTCGCAGTGAACATTCGCAAGGGCCAAACTGTTCGTCGGATTGCAGCGTTATTCAGTGTTAAATATTGAGGAGCAATAAAGTGAAACGCAGTAGTTATTCGGCTCCAAGTTTTTAATTCCAATACCATTTCGATTCTTAATGAGCGTTCCTCGAGGTAATGACGAAGTCATCGTCATTACGGCGTCGACTGCAAGCCCCTACGGCCGCTTGTGTGTTCTCACCGTTCTTTCCAGCGCCTCGATCCCCTTTCCCCCATTCTCTTCGGCTGCTTAACGTTAACACAGGATCATTAAAGAAGTGCAGAAGTGCTCCCTTGGTAACGCTTCCTCTTAGCTCCTTCCTCGTTCAGCTATTATTCGTGCGCCTGCTTCCCGCTTTCCGTCCATGTTCTCCTTTGTCCTTTGTCGCGCGCATCAGCGCACGGTGCTTCCGAGTCGGTTGCTAATGTTGTCGGCGTTGCCGCCTAACGAAAAAGAGCAAAGCGAATAGAATAAGGAGGCCCTAAATAACGTAAAAGGCAGAGTCAAATAGCGTCTCCAGCAAGAAATAGTGGATGGCGCAGAAGCGATGAGGGGTCAATAGTAAGGTCAGTGATAAATTCAGTTTGAACAAACGAAGCTTCGCAAGCAACCCTGCGGAAAGAGATGATTACATTTATAGGAGGAAACGCCGCCCATTGGTCAGTATGGCTAGTTATACAGCTAAGAATAAAATTAACAGTCCTTTGAATTATTTTCAATTCCGCAACTTATATGCATCCAGTCATCTAATAAGTATCCTATAAATACGCGCGCTCAGGACACGCGGGAAAAAGCAGTTGAAAATGTAAGTTAAAACATAACAATACGTAAGCTATCTTCGGTACTGATTTCGGAGGGTGTACCTCGAAGAAACGAACTTCTACGATAGATTGTGCATAATTCTGGGAAATGCATCTGCTATACAGGTTTTATACAAGTTCTGGTAAAAAAAAAAGACGTAAAAGGATAGGCATACAAACAAACAAATAAATATTAGATATCGACGAGTATTCAGTTCTGGTACAATGTGAGTGTAGAGCGCTAGGTCGAAAGAACTAGATTACAAAGAGGAAATATGCCGAAGATGACGCCCATAGAAGTTAATACGTGAAATAAATGAGGATTTACTATCATAAAACATAAAAAAGTCCCCTCCCACCGAAAAGCCCGTAATAAAGCGTCTTAATACAAGGGATTGGCTCAAAGTGAACTTTTACAGATTGGGTTTGGCAAACTAAACGACAGCGTCGCGCCTGACATCAATAGCCTTGCTGGTTAAATACCAAATAGTCCAGTTCTGGGTTTAGGTGCATATCACCGAAGACGGATCCACCAACCAAGAAGATTCTCCTACCATGATACCTACTTCCGGTGAAGACGGAAGTGCTCTAGATACGTAGAATCGCAAAGCAGAGTTGAGGGAGAGCGAGTAGGCCGGCGGACAGCTTTGCTGTACGAACGCTGTGCGAGAAGATATTTGCATACGAAGAAAGGGCAAAGGGCATCCGTGCCCCTGCTACACCCACTTTTTCCCCTACTAGCAGCCGTTCGCCAAAGAACCTCGTGTCCGCTCCGACGGAGGAACCTCACTCAATATTAACGCTGCAGCGCGTACGTCTGCTTAGCACCAGTGTTAGCAGGCTTTGCCTTGCTTTTGTCAGACCCTGTGCTAAATATTGGCAACCTTGACCCACTGTTGCGCAAGCGAGACGCATTTAGAGGTGACACAAGCGTCTTCAGCAATGAGTCAAACTGTTTCGTAGCAACTGGTTGACTGCTAACTGAAAACCGATTAGCCATGGGCTGGAGAGATGGTCCAAGGGAAACGCAAACCCGTGATTGCTACCGATGCTCATAGTTTCAACAAGTTTCATAAGTGTTCAATACCGGTCTGCACAAACGAAGAGGATGCTGCAGAAATCCACAGAGCTGAGCTTAAATGGCATATAATCGATTTGAAGTTAAACATATAGGTTTGTATTAGATCGTCTTGATAGCCGATGTAACCGTACTCGCTCCACTCCGTAAGCATCAACGTCCAGATATAAATTGCCCTTAATATCGTGAAGCTCTAAACATCTAAAAAAATTCACTAACGCACTACTATTGTATATAATTAAAGCTAGAATCACAGTCGCATTGTGTAAGAAGGTTTAATCTTATCATATAAAGAAGGACAGTTAGCATGCCTACGTTCAGATTAAATACCTCGTATATATTATAGTATAGACTGACGTACGCAAATTCTCATTTTCTCTACGTTCCATATTTTTAGTTCTGCTCGTTTCAAGATATGTCGTATCCTACTTGTCACTCAGGCATCAATTAGTAGTATACCTCAAATTATTTAGAGGAGCGATGTCTTCACGGGCAATATAAAAATAAAAAAAATCCAATGAACCTTTAGTCGATTGGCTCATTGCGACATCTCTTACGTATATCATAAAACATAACACGTCAGGTCTAGTGATGACATAAAGGGGAACTTCATGAACCTGAAACAGTTAGCAGAGAAAGGCCCGTACTCAAAGGAAAGCGGAGCTACGCTGCGGTGCCAGTTAGTGATTAAGGACAAACGACAGATTGCTTACGACAAAATGAGAAATAGTTACGTTTCAGTTCTTTGAATTATAGAGTGTTCCGACATTTGTCGAGCTGGCAGGCCAGTGGTGGAGTAACTCTTTCGACAGGTCAGCAACTACACTCGCTAACAACAGCGTGTACACACGTCCTTCAGTGTGTGCTTAGTTTCGATCTGATATGGCCATTTTGTGCTGTATTTGTCAAGTATTTGCGCTGGAGAACAAGTACGCACGGCATTGGGAGCGAGTTCACGCAAGATGAAACTAGCTCTAATTAAATTGAAGAGCTCCCGCAAATTTAGCACAGAACTGATTACTATTGAACGCTCCAAAAGTAAGATCTCCTTGTAATTAAAGTTATCGCCAAAACATCTTATTATTGCTAAACCTTAGTTGGCATATTAGGAATTATCTTTAATGATGCTAGCTTGTTTGTTTCAGGACATGTGAAATTATACACGAGCCTCACTAGATCAGTTTGCTGGTCAAATGACGACAAATCTGGAAATCGCTCAAATTATCAGCATGTATTCATTATTTCAATATCGTCATCAGTCAACGTATTTCGTTTTATGGCGCTGTTAGTTCGGCCTTAGTAGGTCCGTCCAATTAGAAGCTCCGAAATTGTTGCACCGCGTACGTGAGCAGTCCACCGAAGCAGCATGCCGACATTCATTGTTTGCACCGCAAACCGCTCGCCATTTTTTCGTCACCACGTTCGACCTTGCATTGTTGCTGCAATGCTTGACATGCTTCGTGTGCCATTTCGTTTCGCAGGCCCTGACCTCCAGGGTGGGTCTTCTCCTAGAGCGACCGCCTTTTTAGGCGAGTGCAAAAGTGGAGAGGACATGAAGTCGTGCACTCAACTAACGGCGCCATTGGGAGAGAAAGGCAGAACACGTGCTCAGAGGACGTTAGACAGGCTCCGAGGTTGGGCGCTGTGTCGCTGACGGTATTATCGTCGGCGGCTATCGAAGCTGGAAATTTCTTCTATACTACGAACGACAAGTTCTTGTGTCAGCCCTCAACGTCAGTGTGGTGTTCTTCGTGCATACTCCGTCCCGTGAATTATCGTTACAACAAACAAGGTGATACCAACAGAGATAGTAGAGGCCGTTGGCGGTTAGCGCCAGTCACGCTGTCGTTGTGCCTGCCGGACAAAACGCAACAGCCAGAAGTAGGAGACCTACTGGCGTTTATATAGCAATGGTGCGGTGATATGGTGCATGGGGCGTATCATTAAGGTCGTGCGAATACGCGAATGAAATTTTCTAGAGGAGAGACGTACGCGCACAGCGACCAAGAGCGGTTAGTTAGAAATGATACGATATAGATTAGAAATGAGAGTTGGACAAGAGTAGCTCCAAACGTGTGTGCATTCTGATTCGAAGCACCAAACCTTGTCACACGAAAGGCCAAAAGCGTCGTCATACGCGAGAAGATTGCGGAAAAACTTGTGTTGAGTGGTATAGCCCTATCTGCCCACCCTTCTCCTCCTCCCCCGCGGTTTGCTACAGCGGGATTTCATCAAGTTCGTGCTCGTTTTCTTGGAACAGTGCCAAAAAACGAACTGGAAGTATAGTTGATCTACACTATCGATAGATGATGTTCGTTCATTTTTTTTATTGAAAGAAATAGTTGGCAGCGTGCACTTCAGGTGTCCTGGTGACTAAGTTGCGACGATAACGACGATAGCCCCATTATTTTTATCTTATCTTGCATTCAATTTTATAGCAAACAAAGATTGTTTGCGGCGGTTGAGGAAACATGGATCGGCCAACAGTCAATCTGATCGTGCTCCTTGTATTCGCCGTTGTCCAATCAGGTGAGTTATACTATAGGAACAATTCCGTTAGAAGAAATTTTCTATTAAGTCGCTGTTAAATAGGAGGTAGAACAAAGTAGCCACCAATTAGGTTTGAAACATTGATGCCGTCCTTCGTTTCATCCATATAACAACATGATTACAATTGTTCACAGCAGACTGAGATTCTGCTAAAGAATAGCCTATTCAATTTAATTTTACGATCAAATTTTATTAAGTAGAAGCGTAGCTTGCAGGATAGGGGTATAAATATTGTAGAATTAGATGTAGTTAAGTAAGTTCCACCAATGACATAAATGTACAGAGTACAGGTAAGTTTCTAGTTTAAAGGTATTAACAGGCGTTCGCATCTTGTTGTCTCCATCGAATGTCATACGATTACTTAACTGTGGACATTTTTACCTACTAACAATATTTACATGAACAACAATTGATCTTCGATCTTCAATAATATCTTCTACGTTACTCTCAATCAGTTGTACCCTGTTTTGTTGGCAATCATGAAGCATTTGCCCCGGATGTCTCATCAATAGGTAAAAAATATTTGAAGCTCAATCTACATTCCGTACTTGATGTCCTTCACGCATTGTTCTGCACGACTGGCTTCTAGCATGGGGCACAAGGTGTGACCCCAGCCGGTTTCGAACCTGCACCACCAAGTTTTATAAGCGCGCACACGTAGCTACCGCATGATCACCGACATGATCTCAAAGGTCATAATTTGAAGTTCATAGCCTAGGTAAGTTTGTAACTTTGTATAAGTTACAAACTTACCTAGGCTATGAGTTAACTCGGACCGAGATGCCAAGGCGAAAATTTCATACCGAATGTGTTAATTAACACCGAAGCTATTATATATAGGCGATTTAGTAAAAAAAATTATATTCATATCGGCTTTAAATATGAACGAAGGTAAGCTCTGTGACGTTGATAATTCTCACTGTGAGCTTTCTCAGTGGGACGATCGTCTTCTGTAATTAGAATTATCATTATGTGCAAAGAGGTACACAAGATGTTATGCACACTATTTCGATAGTAATAATTGTCTATTTGAGCAATGAAGAGACCATTTGGATTGTGGCACAACTGCATTGGCCTCCCACTTCGTTTTCCCTCAAAGCGGAATAGGGGAACAAATAGAACTTTTCCGAATAACGTGTTTAGGCAATGGAAGCTTCTATAAATGGTTCGGCTACAGCGTCAACATTCAGCTTTGTCTGTGCGTTGTCTAGAAGGCTAGGGTTTTCCCCGAACACTTATTTCAAGCCCAATATTTCTAAATGGACGCAGTTTTCTCGTTGACCCCATCCGACCCCCCGTGCCCCGCTGTTCCTGCAGCCATCTACACGGTTCCGTGGTGCAGCACTTCGTTGAGGTCCGGACTCTCGTTTGACGTCTCTCTGTCTGCGTAACCGACGGCAGCGTTCCATTGTGACATTTTTATGCTTAATGTCGTTTTTCCTCGAGAGAAGCACGCGCACCGTGTGTAAGGTGAGCACATAGACGACTTATACTAGTGCGTAAAAGACAGCAGCGACGGTTACGGCTGGAAAGGACGGAGCTTGAGGAGAACGTGGAGATGTAGGAAGACGGACAGATAGATAGACAGATAGGCAGACTGTAGCGCGCAAATCAGCAGCTGGACAGGGGAATACAAAAGGAAAAAAGATGAGACACGTCTTAGAGTGAAAAATGGGTCGTTTTCTGAGTGGCCGAGTGGCGACCAGCCGTTGTTTGAAAGGGTTATATTCGTTTGCATCTATACTGGGTGCGATAAAACATAATTGGTTTTATTTGATAGCTGCAGCCGCCATACCGCTTGTTGACTTTTCTATTACCTCGTACGGAAATTTGCTTCATGCGTTCAGTAAATACGCTAACAAGACGCTACAGTGTCTGGCTGCGGAGGTACAGGTCACCGGTTCAAATCCGCTCCAATGCAATACACAATTTTAGTAAGTGTTAGCACCAAACCTAAATGGATATATGGTGCGTTGATTGGTGCACAATAGTGTTTACTAGCTATGGATACGGTTAAATACTCTGACCATCTTAGCGCATAGTATTCACCAAATAAAGCAAATATTACGCGTATGGAAAACATATGTTTTTGTAAACAAATTTGTATAAGAAATTACTTCTGAAGTAGTAGATGCTCGCAAGGCTATTAAAGCCAATTATGAGAAATCACAAACGTGCGAAGCCGTCTTAGTCACCTACTTCTGATTTCATACGCTACCAATTTGAGTAATTTTTCCGCTGTAGCAGAATAGGTGTTTCAAAGAAAAAATAAAATGTATCATATAAGCTTAGATGGTTGCCACAAACGGGTTACATTCAATATATATGCTTTATTCTTCCGTGACATAGTTCATTACGAATAAGTTTAAAAAAAAAACGGCAAACAAAATTGTGTGCACCGAATATTCAGTTTTTTAAGTAGTTCGCAGGCCTACACAGGTCCATCGATACGCTGCATCTGAATCACTACCTATCGCATTGATGGTAGTTTTACGATAACGAAGCTCGTCTAAGGGGAGTCGACACAAAATCGCGTAGATACCATTCACCCTCCACCCCACCTTCTATCTAAAACCTACTGAGGTTGTCTATTCGACATTGGCCATTGAATGAGAAGGTTCTTCCCTTTTATGCCGTTATGAGGCAACTAATGGCATCTCGTGGCTTCGGCGATGGGTTAATGGCTGATTAAAGGAAGACATTGGAGAGATGGCCGGAAGCCTTACACCCACTCGGTGTCTCCGTGGGCGAGTTCACTGTCGTCGACGCTGATGCGTCGACTTCAGCAACAGTAGCGATGCTGGGTTAGGGATGACTGAGCAGGACTTGGCAGAGCGGTGTTCATCGGGATCAGACTTTGCCGATGCCGCTTCTGTTGGAGCATCGGCTCCGCCATCGCAACGAGTATCGAGGAGCGTCCGAGCTTACAAACGATGGTATAGCTAGAGCCGTGATGGTTGCCTGTCGACTCCGGCTTAGTTTGCTATTATCATGCTAATGTCTCTGGTAGCGCCATTGCTGCCTCTTGGCCTTGGCACGATGACATGGTTCGCCCTCGTCCCGATCCAACAATTTCGCACTCTTTCTGCTGGTCGGTTCTACGCCTGTGTCGCTGTTGCTACGGTTACGGCTATGAGAAATCCTGGGTTCGAGGGAAACCGCGGAAAAGATGGAGACGAAAAAAGGGACTGGCATGAGATAGTCACCTGGTATTAGGATAGGCTGGACCCAGCCTGGCGGACGGTTTGATTCGGCCTTTCGATTTGAAGAAAGCGAACGAGGAATTAGCTATGCGGCTGTAAGCGGAACGCTTCAACTACAATAGCAGCAACGGTGGCACAAAGCACCGCGGCCTGCTCACAAAGGGAACGTTCAAAGAAAGAAAAAAGACAAATCTGAAAGCCAAGGAAAATTCTGTTAGACAACGGATACGCACGAGCGCGCTGACCAAACCCCACGCGCACATCTGGGGTAGCCGGAATCATAGACGAATGCTAACTAGAAAGAGGGTTAAAGGACAACTTGATAAATATTCAAGATTTGCATGATATTTGGCAAGGAGACCCAGATGTTTTTGTTCAGATCCTAGAAATAGATCCATTTTCGAAATATGTGGTTGAATTCTACAATATATACTACCATACAAAATGAATCCGCACTCGAAGTAAACGCTGCAGTTTATTGTTGCAAATGACATCTGGCATATGCAGAAGCACATTGTATATCTCTCGGATCATAGTGATGCGAATTCAAGCGAATATTTCGTTCCAACTGCCATAGGCTTGGTGTCCAAATGACAGAAGGGCGAAAACCATCAAAAGATAGCGAAATATCCAGCAAGGATGCTATCAGCCGCGGGCTCAAGCAGCACAAGGAATAGCAACTAGGGGGTCAATGAAAAGAACTCAAAAGGCAAAAGCGGCCATTTCCTATTTTGTTGGTCCATTCCTAGCAACATCCTGTTTCAGACCTTTCCCTCCTTTTCAGCTCCTTTGTGTACAGTGGTGATTCGGCCAACGCACGCCTCACCGGCCGGTGGCCAAGCTAACACATAACCACGGCTGCTGTATTTGTTTTGTGCCCCTTCTTTCTCGATCATCCTTTTATGCTCAGGGCATCCTTGAGCTCCTTCAGCTCTCACTTTACCCTCGATTTTGTCCCCTCCCCTTGTCTTTTGATGGGATAGTGTACTTTTCTGCGTCCGTCAGCAAGAGCATAAGGCGCGCCGCGCCTTCGTAGCAGCCTCGACTGAAACCTTTGAATAGCTATGACAAATTCACATTTCGCCGCAGGACAGCACGAAGGGCGATACAAAACTCTTGTGTGTGTCCAAAGCAGGACGCTTTGCCTCGGAAAGTTAAAGAGGATAACGCCTGTTGGAGAGAAGAATCAGACATAGAAACGACTTTCACGCCGGCCTTACCATGCGTTTGAGGCTGCTGGATCATGGGGGCATTATGTGTGAAATCAAGAAGGCCGCCGCCGCGGATTATGATGTTGATAGCGATGGCCGCTTCGGACGCGAAGGGCTCCAGAATATCGTTGTTGTAGTGTAGCACATGATGAGTTGTAGAATTGCGATTGCTTCGAGTGCTGGACATTGGTACCATATTTCAGACAGCTGGTCTTTGCGTGCGCCATCCTTAGTGCTCTGTATACTCGCATAATCTAAATGTATTAATAATATATTGTAATGCCCTTCACTCTGCCTGTACTACGTATTGACGAGGTATATATATACGGCTAAAATGAGCAAGAAGACATCGGACGATGATGCCTCCGATGACGAGTTCCGCAAGAATAGGTAGAGGTGTTAGCTTGCGTTCTTATATAATTGGATGGAAAAAAATTCTGCCTTTAGAAACGACGCCTAAGCCGCGTGCGTACACATCGATCTCGGGTATGTGAGAAATCGTTATGCTGCGTGAGATAGGTTTACTACTGCAATTACCGTTACAAATATTAGTGCTGCTATGTAC